AGAGTGTTTGTGAGCTGTGAAGGGTCACACGTGTTGTGCAGTGGTTTCTGGAGCCAGACAGACAGAGGTTCCATGTCCTTTCCCGCCACCCATTGACTGGGTGTCCTCTAGCGATTTATACAACCTCTCTAACCCTTAATATACCCAGCTGATGAATGGATTTAAAAGTGCTGCCAACCTGGAAGACCGAGCACTAAATGGAATTAAACATTAAAGACTATTGTAGCCTAGTACTTGGACCTAACACTTAATACATATTAACTGTTGCTCCATTATGTTGGCTAATTCCATTAAATTATTATTATCATTATAATTATTACAATTCCCAGGTCTGCCATTTCTTAGCTAAGTGACCTTGGAACACTTAGTTTCCTTCCTGAGCTCTGGTTTCTTCAGATGTGAAATCGTAACACTAACCCCTCAAGATTCTCTGAGAATTAAAGGAAAATATTGTGTAATCCATGGACCGGCCTATATTAGATGCTCAGTGCATGTTAGCTCTCTTGCCCTAATTCGTGTTTTCTCTCTTAACCTTCTATGGAGAGATGCGAGCCTCCTTTCTTTTCGCAGTATTCTTTGCAAATCTGAAGGAAGCATGTTTAGCCATTTACTTACAAGCCAGGGTTAGAAAAATCACTCCACTCGGGAAGGGCAAGCTTTGTAGGCACAGGCGTCAGGATGTGAGAACATGGCTGACTTGCCTCGGGGAGTAGCTCTGGAGGGTGCTGTCCACAAGCACCTTACGAGTTTTCCATTTTTGTCTTATTGTCGCCTCCACATCTCCTCTCTTCTCTCCGTGTTCCACAATGTAATCTGTGGGGAGTGGCGTTATTAATTCAGGACTTCATTTTCCAAAGTTCCCACCTGGGACTCCAACGTCCAAGGGGGTGAGTCCCACAGCCTCTGTTTTATGTAATTGAGAAATGGTGTTTCTAAGACTTCTGCCTTCAGATCCCCCCAAGCTACGTGTACATGTTTAGCATCTGTTGATGCACTCGGAGGACCTGGGTTTTTATTGAGTGTTTTAACTTCCTGGGTGGTTTGGGACTAGCGCATTCCCCAACTGCAATGACTGCTAAACAAACAATTAAATATCTGACTTCCAAGAGGGCGACCAACTCATCTTGATTTGCCTGGGACTTTCCTCCTTTGAGTACTGAAAGACTGTGCCCAAGGACCCCTCAGTCCTGGGCGCACTATCCCAGTTAATCACCCTTCCTTACAGAGTGGCCCAGTTATCTTCCCTTTCAGCTGATGATGAAACGAAAGAAACTCAGGACTAATTGTGGGGTTTCTCTAGCAGAAAGAAATGGGGACACTCAAAGAGATCCTGGGCTCCCTGCTCTGAGAACTGGGACTTAGCTTCTCTTCCCTCAGAGAGCATAGGAGGCAGGTCTTTTCTATAGGAATTCTATAGAAAGTGCTAGATGGTATGAATGGTATGATGGGGCATACCATTTAACTTCTTATGAAACATTAACACTCCTTTTTCTCCACCCCGCAGTCCTCCTTCGAGTCTTATGTCAGACCCTTGAGGGTAGAGCAGTGCCCAAATAAACGTGAAGAGAATTTTGATATCTCTCTGGGCTTAAAGAGTCATAAAAACTCCAGTCTCAGAGAAAGAACAGCAGAAGCCACTCTACCAAACATGTTAGGGAAATCTGAGAATAATTTAAACATAAGCAAAGCAAACCAAGTTAAAGATACTGAAGATAAGATCCTGGTGTAGCTGATGTTTCTGTGGACTTTAGATTTTAAAAGACTGAAGTAGGAGAGGAAAGCAAATATAGTAGCTAATTTTCCTGAGTAATTGGTGCATGTCAGGCACTGCTCTAATCGCTTACATGCCTTATCTCATTTCCTCCCCACAGCAGCCCTAAGAGATAGGTACTATTATTATTTGTATTTCAAAGATGAAAACATGAGTTTCAAAGAGGTTGAAGTAACTGATCTAGGGTTGCACAACTAGCAAGTGTCAAGGCCACAAAGTATACGTTGGTCATCAGGGCACAGAGACATGGTCTTGACCAGTGTGCTGTACTGCCTGCCACTGTCATGTCTTTCCAGCATAATCAACCTCACCAATTATCCCCATAGATTTTTACCATGATTTCCTGAAAACCCTTCAGAGATGCTTTGCTCAGGATGAACCCAAGCAGTCAGTTGTTATTTTAACTCTGGCTGGCATGCACGCGCGCGCACACACACACACACACGCACACACACACAAATATATGCATCTATGAGTAAAAATGCAGAGATTCACATGGAATCACTGTGAAACATGCAGCTTTTCTTTTAATTTGGAGCTTTCTGCGCACATGTTTCAGTGACCATGAGCCAGAAGTTGGGTGCAGCAGTCTAAATTTCGAGGGCTCTCACAAGGAGATTGGGAGAGGAGCAATGAAAGGTGCTCGAGTGTTGAGGGAGAGACAAGCTCATGGCAGAAGGCTCTGTGTGGGTCACGGTCCCTCCCTCTCAAGTCTTAAGGAAAGTTATGATTAGAGGCCTTGGAAACAGCAAGGAACCAAAAATCAGGTTGGGGCCAACCCGAGGCATCACCCCAAGAGCAGATGCACAGGTCTTCATCAGAGAAAAATAGGAATTGGAAGACTCTGGGAGGAGGGTTCTGGACTTGGTGGCTGAGCTGGAAGGGCAGACTGTTGAATTGAGAGTGTGAGTCAAGTTCCCCTAAATCTCTCAGGGTACGATGATCCCATGTGGTATCTGGGTCATACACATTCTTCAAGACCCCAAACTTGTGGCCACATGATTTCAGAATCCCAGACTCTGGTAGCCCACAAGAGTGCTGTCC